TTTTTTTTTTTTTGTTTCGTATTATCCGAGAGACAATTTGAACAAACTGTGACACAGTTCTCTTTTCAAGCATGGTCATTCCCATTTTCTGTGCTTTCCTGTCGAGATTGGACGAAGAAAAATCGCGAAACTTTTTGAACGATTTTCCAAATTTTTCCTTGTTAAACAAGCAACTCTTTATTTCACGCATATTACGCGAGAATATTCTACGTGAGAAGCGTTCGATTTGTTTCACCTAAATGTTTATTTTAGATGAAGTCAGATTTATATTGTTGCGTTCATTGTTACGTTTTTTTATTCGTCTGGTGGAATTTTTCAAATCCGACCGAGGCAAATTCGGATTTCGAAAATGTTCCTAAAAGTGGTGTATAATGTAATCTTGCCAGCATACACTTTTTAAATGACCCAGGATTTAAATAAAACAGGAAATTTGCGCTTGCGAGCACAAAGAAGATCGAAAGAATCTCAATAATGGTACGTAATGGTACTTAACACGATCTTCCCCGACGTTTGGGTAGAATATCCATCAGTGCGAATCTCTAGGTAACCGACTTAACATTTGACTAGACACATATATAATTGATTAATTATCGCCTAGGAAAAATTCGAACGGTTCGAACAGATTCGATTCTGAGCATCGTGCTATACTGTCGGAGAAAAGTGTACAAGTATGTATGTGAAGTGAAATTTTACACGCTTCTTAGAGTGTTTCCTCCGACACGTCACACAATATCACATACACACATACACACACCATACCACATCATACCACGATACACCCGTAAATGAAGTATGTGCCTTTCAGAAGTAATAATGGATATATTATGTAAGAATGCATGATATATTATGACGAATAAATTGTTTTTAATAAAAATCACAGTTTAAATGTATATTTATTGTCATGAAAAGATGTAGGCAAGAAATTGTACTAATAAGATGTCATCCTCAAGTATTTTTGACAAAATACATGAAATATATTATATTATGTTAAAATCATATAAATATCTTAAAAGAAAGTCTACCGTAAATAAATCATAAATAACAAATGACAGTAACGGTACATGCGTCTGAGATAAGTTATCTGGCATTGATAACGTAATATCATTTACAAATAATGTTTCGAGTTCGTGTAACATTAATTGTAGTTACAAAATTTATAAAATGTCGCGCGCGTCTTAATACAAACGTAATATAAAAATATTATTTGATTATCTTAAATAGTCTTAACGTTACTATTCTAATACCGGTCTGTATAAATCTCATTATGTATTATAAAAGGAAGTAGTAAAAAAATATAACTACTTTGACAATTATCAAGACTCATAGTCTTTACATCACAATCAGAATTAAAATTTGTGCATATATTAAAAATATATATGTATATAAAAGTAATATGGCCTCGTTGACGTACATACAGCAAAAACGTTCAGGTTTCATTATTTTTTACTTCATTTATCAGTTGTAAACAAACTTTTAAGTCCTCATAATCTCCAACCATCATATGGAGCCTACAAACAATTCAGTAGAATTGAAGTTAAAGTTTTCAATAGAATCTATGTTAAATATAAAATCTGGAGTTTGTTATTAATACCTCTCAGTAAACATATCCAATACGGAACTCGTGAAGTTTCCTTTTTTTAAAGCTTGCGAACAAAAATGTGTCAAGTTTTTAAAACACTTATGTGTCAAATTACATAAACTTTGATTTTCCCCTTCATATAATTGCTTTGTAACATTCCATGCTGCACACATGTAATGCATCACCGATAGCCAATGCTGTGATTCTACAAGTCTCTTTCCCTGATCAATAATAGCTTTCTATTAAAAAAAAAAAAAAAAAATGAATATATTAATAATTAAGCAAAATAAAAAAATATATAAACAGATAAAGATACACACCTGAAAGGCATCTAAATGAATGTGAATGTCAGATAAATCATCCATGTTAGATAGCACAATGCTAACTTGAATATTTTGTTTCAAATTATTCAGTGTATCAATTAATGGTTGTATGTCAGCCACTGGCATTTTTTTGAACAAAACATTTCGTATTTTCTCATTCTCATGTAACAGACCATCCTCTTGCATAGAAACCAAATCCATGATCATGTGAACCAACTGATTATGACTAAGGCCTCTCAGACCATTTATTAAATTCCCATTAAAATACTTTTGCGAATTAGTGGCATCCAAAAAACTCTGTGTCTTTTTCTTTTTATCTGGCGTTGTAAACTGAATCTCACTGGCATCACCAAGGGTGAGTCTTTTCCTTGGTGTACTTCTCAGTACCATAGTTGATTTCGTTGGACTCTTCACTGGTGTACGATCTTTAGAATTTAAGCTGCAAAAAAAAATTCGATAGATTTTTACGTAACTACGTATTGCAAGAGTGACGCAGAAAGAAATGTACATTTACCTAAACAGGCTGTTCCTTTTACAAGTATCAAGATCAGGGGACCAAACTATGGTTCTACGACGACGCCCTCGTTTTTGGATTACCAATTCGTCGGGACTGGGTGCGGGGCTCCAAGAATCAGTGCCGTGTCGACTATTTAAAAAATTATCCATTACGTTAACTTCGGTGGAAACTGCCTCGGCTAAAACACATTGAAATTGAAATTACTAAGAGTAAGTAAACTATAATGACACGAAGAGTGTTAAGAACGCACCTGGTGAAACAGAATTATTAACAGGAATCACTGCTAAAGCTTGGCGAGCGGATCTCCTACGCGTTCCATCTGGTCTCCGCAAAAAATCTCTGGTCGTTGGGGTATTCATCTCTTTCAGTGTAATAGAAAAATCTTCATTCGAAAATACGGCTAATTTACATATATTGTCCTCGAAAAATTGTTACTTAAATATAGGACGTGACATGTTAACCTTGTTTTGTGACAATGAATTTTATGTGAAAAAATGAAGTATCATTTTTTCACATTTTTTTTTCACATAAAAAATCACTGATAACTAGATGAAATTATTATCTGATAATTAATAAAAAATGCACGTACGATCACAAAGAACACAAAATGTATAGAAAAAAACGATCACGATAACGCGTCAAACATAGTTGCAAGAAATGCGACTGGGAAATGGCGGGAATAAATCTGATTGGTTCATTCCGACGTAACTTGCTGTTAAATGTTATTGTTTTATTTAACTAAAATTGATTTACTTTTGTCTTGTATGTAGTAAGTAGTATGTAGTATTAATAATTACTTTCTGTGATGTAAAATTTTCTAGTTTTGTAATTTAATATAATTTTCATATTCATCTTTTTTATATTCCTTTTTGCAGAATATTTGATCATTAACAAAGTGATCTTCAATTTTGTACAAAACTAACCATTTTTTTCATTGTGTAATCCTTCTGAGATAAATTTTTAAATAATTTCCAATAAAACTAACAATCAACCAATCAAGATTAACATAACAGTGCTTGACACTTTAAGGTTAAATAAGGTTATGTTAAAAGGATATTTAAACACGTGGATCATCGCAGTAGAATATTGTCTGATATATTTGAATATCGATTTTGAACTATAACGGAACTTTAAGCATTTTTATTTACGATATTATTATTTACAATTGTACGATATTTTTCAGTTGTAAAATTATAAGAAAATATAAATAAAGTAAGTATAAATATTGAAATTGGTTATAAGGCACTATTACTTTATAGGAATAAGAATATACTTTATAGGAATAAGTATTTGAGCATCATCTTTTTTTAGCATGGACGAATTATTAAACGACAAACGATTTGCTTATGTTGCAAGGGATCCTAAATTTAAAAGGATTCCAAAAGCAGAAAGAAAAGTTAAAATAGATAAAAGATTTCAGAGTATGTTCAAGGATAAAAAATTTACAGTTCAATATACTATAGACAAACGAGGTAGACCTGTAAATCAGACATCGTCAGAAAACCTTAAAAAGTATTATGATTTATCGAGCAGTGAAGAAGAAAATGATGAGGAAGAACATGAAAAACCAAGGCAAAAAGAGAAGAAATTTAGAAAACATAAAAAGAAAGGAAGTACAAAAAATAAAACTTCTCGATCAAAGGAAAGTAATCAAAAAAATAGTACAAGTGAGGATGCTACTGACTCTCCATTACTTGATAAACAATTATTATCTGACAAGTCAGATTTATTAAATAATGAAGAGTCAATATCTAGGATTAAACCAAAAGAAGAGAGTGATGCAAATTCTGAGGAACAAAGTGACACCGAGTCTGAATCAGATATAGATGACCTAACTAATGCAAGAAACTTAAAGTTAGATTTAAAAGAAAGTAAAAGACAATTGAATATTAGAAGTAAATATGGATCTGAGAAACTCACAGATGACATCAAAGCAAAGTTAAGAAATTTATCTGTAAATTATGCTAGAGGAGAAGGATTTTTAATGACAGACAGTTCCTCCGACGAAGAAAGTTCTGAAAATTCTGGTAATGTATTTTAATCTAACAAATAATTTTATATACATAGTATTTAATAACAATGTACATTTACCATTTAGATGAAGATATCGAACATAATTGGGGTGAATTAGATAAGGAAGCTGAAACAACAGAGGAAATTACACACAGATTAGCAATTTGTAACATGGATTGGGATAGAATTCGTGCTGTAGATCTAATGGTTTTATTCAATTCATTTTTGCCTACTGGTGGTTTTATTCATTCAGTTACTGTAAATATTATTAATTATATATTACTGTAAATATAATATAACATAAGTGTTTTCAATATTTTTATGATATTTTTAGATTTACCCATCAGAATTTGGTCTACAAAGAATGAAAGAGGAAGAAATTAAAGGTCCAAAGGAACTGACGGACATAAATAAGGAAAGCGAAAGTGAAAATGATGTAACAGTTCATTTCTTTATTTTTCTTAGAAAATATAAAAAAAACTTATATAAACGTATATAAATGTATATAAACGTATATAAACGTATATAAACGTATATAAACGTAAAATTTATATAACTTTCTAGAATGAAGAAGGATCAGCATATCATATGGAAAAATTAAGAGAGTATCAACTAAATAGATTAAAATATTATTATGCTGTTGTTGATTTTGATTCTGCTGAAACAGCAAATAAAATTTATTCTGATTGTGATGGTACAGAATATGAATCTACAGCAACAAAGTTAGATCTCAGATTTATACCAGATAATATGGAATTTCATCAGGTACATTACTGAAACCTAATGTGTATAATATATATTTACTATATATTAGCTTGAATAGATAGCTCTTTCTTTAGACTCCTAAAGAGGTATGTAGTAAACTACCAGACCCTACAAAATATCAGCCAAGACAATTCATAACTACAGCTTTGCAACAAGTTAAAGTACAGTTGACTTGGGATGAGACGAATCCTGAAAGAATGGAAATTGCACAAAAACTGAATTCAGGAAAATTGAATGAAATTACTGACAACGACTTGCAAGCTTATTTAGCAACTGAGTCAAGTGATAATGAATCAGGTATTATGTTTTTAATTCTCTGGTATTCTTATTATTTAATCTTCTCTGGTATTTTTATTATTTAATTAACATTTTTTTTTTATAAAAGGTAAAGAGGAAGGAAAGAAATCTCAAAAAAATGAAAGTGATTCAGAAGCAGAAGAAAATGTTGAGCCAATTGAAAAATATAAAGCTTTATTAAAAGAGATAGAAGAGAAAGAAGAAAGCAAACAGAAAAAAGATGTTGAATTAGAATTCACTTGGGGATTGGGTACAAAAGAGAAAGCTGAAAAATTGGTACAAGAAAGATTAAAGAAAGAACAAAAACTTACGCCATTTGAACAATATTTAGAGAAACGGAAAGAGAAAAAGAAAGCTAAACGAGAGGAGCGAAAAAAACGTAAAAATACAGATAAAGATGCGCTGGACAGTGAAAATTCAGAAATGCTTTCTTCAGATAATGAAATTGAAAATAATAAATTGTCTTATAGGGGGAAAAACGCTATAGGAAATGATAGTTTTACTTCATCGGATAGCGAGGGCAAAGAAAAACGTAAAGCTGAATTAGAACTTCTATTAATGGATGAAAATGATGGTGATAAGCAACATTTCAATATGAAGAAGATTGAAGAGAACGCCACAATGACGAAGTCTAAACAGAAGCGGTTGAGTAAGAAAAAAAACGGACAAGATGAAATAATAAAAGACAACTTTGAAGTGAATCTGCAAGATTCAAGATTTGACGCATTATATACATCCCATCATTTTAATATCGATCCAGCAGATCCACATTATAGGAGAACCAAAGGTAGCGAAGCTCTAATTAAAGAAAAATTGAAAAGAAGAGTTGATAGTGAACATAATGAAGTGAGTAAAATTTATTTGTATGCACTTTTGAATATGTACTCTGTATATATTACATGTATTTCCTTTTCTTTAAATGTTTCTTTAAATGTTTCAGGAAATACCCGCTAAAGAAATAAAACTGAACTCTAATACAGAATTACAGTCATTAATTAAGTCAGTGAAGAAAAATGCCAAAAATATTTCAAGGCCTATAAAGTAATTTTTTTTATATGCATTTTTTAATAAAATATTTGTAAATATATATGTATACTTATATATATGTATAAGTTTCTTAATATAAATATATTGAATTTGATTAATTCAAGCTATGTACATATTTATAAAAAAAAATATTTATTTTAAACTTTTTATGTTATTAATATATTTTATATGTTGTATGACGCAGTAGAATATCGAAAAAAGCAAAAGTCAGTGAGCCTTGTCGCATTCCATAATACTTCAGAAACAAAAATTTAGAAAATTTTGATCGAGTTTCCCTTCTCCTGCGATCCACGAGAATGGTATCTCACTTCTATGGCACCACCTTCCCCTCCCCACTACAGCGACCATGGACTGGATTTAAAGCAGTGGAAAATACATAACAATAATATTGGTAGTGCAAATAAGCCAGTTATGGAATTCTCATGATAGAGTAAGATATAGCAATTATGTCTACAAGTACACGGAATGTTTCCAACTGTTTTATGGACTAAATTTCCGTGAATGTTATTACGTCGGATGTTCAATTTTCGAGGAGGGGGAAGTGATGGATCGCGTTCTGTGACGCTCGAAGCTTTCGCGATAGTTCACAAGTGCAAATTGAGTTACCCGCCAAGATTCGAAAGTATGACACTGATAAGCATAAATCGCTGGTAGAGGCTGTTTGGGATTGCGCAACTTGTGCGTATCCGCAAGATAGAATTGAGCGAGCCCTCACATCTCTACGAAGTTCGTATATATGGGAGATATAATTCTCGTAGGAAAAGAGAATTTTTTAAGTTATTGTCTCTGACACGCATCACGAAATACGACAAGAATTCTCAATACCTTTGGCACCAACTATTAATACGTTAGATTAATTGTTTTTTATATCACTGTTCCTCTTCTTTGCACAGATTTCCTTGCGAGAAATTACTGAATGCTAGCGCTTGCTTGATGATTTCACATCACAACTTGTTTCTTTGATCCAGTAATCAAAGTTCTCCAATTTTTCTGAACTATAGGAACTTTCCTCCATTCTTGGTCACATTTTTGCAGTTTTGATATTTCCTCTATTATGTTCTGTTGACTTCTGTCTCGGACTCTGATTCTGTGACTAAGTAGTAATTTCACAAGTAGAATTATTACCAAGTTCTGATCAATAACACAATTAATATTAATGATACTTAGAGTTTTTGCATCATAATATTCGGTCATTAACGGTCAAGTTCGTAGTTCTTGGCTTCTTTTTTCTTTTTTTATTTCTCTCGTTTCATCCTTAGAAATCCTAACATTTTCAAATACTGTTTTGATGTTCAGTACAAGATATATCAAACATGTTTGCAGGAGCGATAACGTTGTTTAACTGTAGTTAAACATAGTTAAATCTATAATTGCAATCTCTGTTCTCCACTATACTAATCGATGTGAATACGATGTTCAATGAGTACTGACGGGATTCGTTGTATACAATTTTATAATATCCAATTTTAACTCATTGGCACGACATCGTTGCGTCAAGTAGTTTTTAATAATTGCGATATTCAAGTTTTCACCTAGTTTGCATGCATAACCAAAATTTCCTCCTATCGCGGCCTTGTATCGATTTTTACGAATCGAGGGCGCGAACTAGCACGAAGAACGCTATTGTCTCGAAACGAGTGTATTCGTATCTAACCTAACCTATAATTTCATGTATGGCCCACAGCTTTTTCATGTATATATAATCTATGTTTATTTGCTATCTGTTACGAACTAATAACAAACATTTTAATTTTTATTAAAACGTGTATGACGGTAAATATTTACAATATAAGATAGTAAGTGATGTTATAATTTGTGTTTGTTGACCAAAAATTTTAATTCAAGTTTTTATTTAAAATTTATAATTAAATGTGCGTTTTTACCATTAGATCATGTTGGAATCATAGTACTTATGGAGGATACAAAAAATGAAAATATGGAGGAAGTAAATTTAACTTTAAAGCCTGAAGAAGCTGAATCACAAGCAAAAATAGTAAAAAGTGATATTAAAGAGCAGATTGAAAGCAAGGAGAATGAGTTAATAGAAGAAGCTGTAAAAGAGTCACAGCAAGATGACATTAAAAATGATGTTGAAGAGGAGTGTGAAAATCAAAAGGACATAGAATTTCAACATGAGAAAATTATAACTGAATTACAATCAGAAATTGTAATCGAATCACAGACAGAGATTATAACAGAATCACAGCTGGAAACTGACACTGAATTACAGTCAGAAATAATCAATAGTGAGGAAACTGAAAATAGAAAAGATGCAGAACTTCCTGAAGAAATTTTAACAGAAGACCAAGAAAATTTAGTTATGATTATGGATGATAATACTGTAGATTCAGCAAATATAGAAACATCAAGTGATATTGAAATGGATAATGAAAAAGTAAAAATAGCTGATGCACGGGATTTAGAGTTAAATAAAAATGAGACCAATGCTAACAAGCAACAATTGGAAGATAATTTAAAGGATATCAACAAAGATAATTTGAAAGATATTTTAGAAACTGCCAGTAATGTGGAAGAAATATTCTCTGAAGAACGGTGCCAAAATACACAAGATATTGTTACAAGTATATTAGATGATGTAAGAAGTGCAACTGACTTCAAAAATATTTTAAACACAGAAACAGTTGTAGCGAATGAAATAGAAGAGGCCCTGCAAGAATCTGGAAATTTACCATTAGCTGAAGCTGAAATTGAAGAATTAACTAAAAAATTGCCACAAGATTCAGAAGATATCTTGAACAAAGATATGGAGGATTCAATCTCAGAACACATAGATTCTCTAGAAGGATTGTTAGGCTTAGATTTAATGCCAGAAGGAGATGATTCATCGTTGAAATCAACAAAAACTGAAGAGGAACTTCAGAAATCAGATCAGTTATCAAAGGTTGTGGACATGAGTCTTTTATTAGAACATTCAGATCCCACTTCTGACATGACACAAACCTCTGATTACATTACACATGTAATCAGTAGTTGTTTAACGGATAGAAGTCATATATCATTAGAAACCACAGAGAAACCCAATGCAATTGAAATTGATGATAAAGTTAAAGAATCTGCAGCTAGTGATATGTTGGAAATCAATGAAAGTGTAATTAGTGAGTCTATAGGCAAAGATGAAAATGTTGAAGATTTGCAGAAAGATTTAAAAGAAGGTACTGATTTGACAGAAAATGAATTGGACATGGATTTTGAAGAAGCTCAGCTGGAATCCGTAGGGGATCTTGAAGAAATAGAATCACAATCAGAAATAGATAAAAGCGATCTTGAAGGAGAAACTGAAACTACAAAAGATGCAGGAGAAGTAATTGTAGTAAAAAGTCAAGAAAATTTAATTATTAGCCTGAATGATAATAATACTGCAGATTCAACAAATGTGGAAACAGCAAGTGATATTGAAATGGAATTGGCTTCAGATATCTTATTGCACAACGTAGATCACAATAGTAAGAATGAAAATATGGGTGATTTGCAAAAGAATTTAAAAGAGGATACTGATTTGGCAGGAAATGAATTAGACATTGATTTTGAGGAAGCTCAACTAGAATCCATAGATGATCTTGAAGAAACAGAATCACAGACAGAAATAATTAAAAGTGATATTGAAGAAACAGAATCACAGACAGAAATAGTTAAAAATGATCTTAAAGAAACTGAATTGCAGATGGCAACAACTAAAAGTGATCTTAAAGAAATTGAATTGGAAACAGAAATAACTAAAAGTGATTTTGAAGAAACTGAATTGCAGATGGCAACAATTAAAAGTGATCTTAAAGAAACTGAATTGGATACAGAAATAACTAAAAATGCTGTTAAAGAAACAGAATCACAGATAGAGATAGCTAAAGGCAATGTTGAATCTATAATTAGAAATGATGTAGAACTTCCTGAAGAAATTATAACTGAATCACAGCTGGAAATAAATAAAATTACTGTTGAAGAAGAACCTGAGAATAAAATGGATACAAATGCTGTTGAAGAACAATTTGAGAATAAAATAGATACAAATGCTGTTGAAGAACAATTTGAGAATAAAATGGATACAAGTGATGTTGAAGAAGAATTGGAGAATAAAATGGATACAGAACTTATTGAGCAACTTACAACTGAATTAGAACCAGAAGTAAATAAAAGTAATGTTGAAGAAGAATTTAAAAATAAAATGGAAATAGAACTTACTGAACAAATTATAACTGAATCGCAGGTAGAAATAAATAAAACTAATGTTGAAAAGAAATCTGAGGATAAGATTGATACAAAACTTACTGAAGAAATTACAATTGAATCACAGTCAGAAATTACAATTCAATCACAGTCAGAAATTACAATTGAATCACAATCAAAAATTGCAACTGAATCACAGTTAGAAATATATAAAAATGATGAAGAAACATCTGCAGATAAAAAGGAAACAGAACATATCGATGAAATTATAAGCAATCTACAGCCAGAAATAGTTAAAAGTGTTATTGAAGAAGAACATGAGACTATTCTTGAGAAAATAGTAACAGAAGAACAAGAAAATTTAACTATTAATGTGGATTGTGAAATTGAAAGTTTATCAAATGTGGAAGAGTCAAATAATATTGAAACAGGATTGATTTCAGATATACTGTTGGATAATGTGGATCAAGTTAGCAAGAATGAAAATACTGAGAATTTGCAAAAAGATTTAAAAGAAGATATTAATTTGACAGAAAATAAATCACACATGGATTTTAAGGAAGCTGCAGTAGAATCTGGAAGTAATTTTGAAAAAACAGAATTACAGTCAGATCCAATCAAAATCACTGTTGAAGAAGTATCTGAAAATCAAAAAGATCCAACACTTCGTACAGAAATTATAACTGAATCACAACCAGAAATTATAACTAAATCACAACCAGAAATTATAACCAAATCTCAATCAGAAATAGAGAAAAATAATATTGAAAAAGAATGTGAGAATAGGAAAGATATAGAATTCTCTGAAGAACTTGCAGCAGAAGATCAAGAAAATTTTGATGTTAATACTTTAAATTCATCAAATGTGAAAAGACCAAATGATATTGAAACAGAATTAATTTCAGATATACTGTTGCATAATGTGGATCAAGATAACAAAGATGACAATGAGGATTTACAGAAGGAATTAAAAGAGGATGTTAATTTGGCAAAAGATGAACTGAACATGGACTTTGAAGAAGCTCCTCTAGAATCTATAACTAAGATTGAAGAAACAAAATCACAGCCAGTAATTGTAAAACATGATGTTGAAGAGGAACCCGAAAATAAAGAGAATGTAAATCTTTTTGAAGAAATTGTAGCGGAAGATAATTCAGGAAATCTAACAGAAGATAATCCGGTAGAAGGTAATCTAACAGAAGATAATTCAACAGAGGATAATTTAGCTCAAGATAATCTAGCAGAGTGCAATCTAATAGAGCATAATTTAATACAACATAATGTAGTAGAGAGTAATATAATAGAAGATAATTTAGCATTAAATAATCTTGCAGAAGATAATGTAGCAGAAAATAATCTTGCAGAAGATGATCTAGCAGCAGAGAATTTAGTTACTGACATGAATGACAATACTGCAGATTCATCAAATGTGGAAAGATCAACTGATATTGAGATAGAATTGTCTTCAGATATCTTGTTGCATAATGTGGATCATGATGAAAATTTAGACGATGCTCCGACTGCCATAGAAACATCTCAACCTAGTTCTGAAATATCCGAACTTGAATCGGCTGTTAAATTTCTGCAAGAGTCTGAAGAACAAGCAATGGACTCGCCGTTGGTATTATCTCCCAAAATGATGGAAAGTGTCGTAGATGATATATCGAAACAGACAGATGCATCATCTCTATTTGTACACGAAGATATGTGCGAGAATACATCAGAATTAGAAGCGGAACTGCAAAAAATTGCAACAGATTCTATCGCTATTTCTGAAGCGGAGATTATCTCGGAAGCTGCGAAACTGGAAAGTGAAAGGAAACTTGTCGAACAAATTAAGATTGATGCTTTGAAAGGTAAGTTTGAGATAAATGATGATAAAGAAACAATAAATGAAGACGTAATCGAAGAGAAAGTAACAATGTCTACTGAGGCGAAATTCGATGTAACAGCTTTAGAGAACATTGAGATGCAGCAAGCATCAAACTTAGAAAGCAATAAGGTATCTGAAACAATAGTAACTTTATCCCAGAATGTTTTAAAGACATCCGAATCTATACCAAAAGTTTCTATTTTAGAGGAACGTTTAAAAGAACCACCTAAGATAGAAATTCCTACTACAGACGTGACGAAAGTTTCACTGTCTCCCACCATCTCCAAAGACAGTCTTTTGATTCAAAAGGATGCAAAATTAATTGCCTATCAAAAGATGTTGGAATCGCCGAAGATGTCTGATAAATCAGAATCGAAGTTTGTTGAAACGCCTCGAAAGGATTCTGAAAAACACGATTTCGAAAATGTTGGATCTCCAAGAATTATTCTAAAGATAGCAAAGTCTGCAATCACTGATTGTGGGGAGCCGAGATCTCCTAAAAGTCCAAAGATCAGATCAGCGACCAATTCGCCGAATCCTGAGGATAGCCCGGGTCAAAAATTGGGGAAAATAAAATTGAAATTATCTAAAGGTGGTCATCCTTCTATAATATCCAATGAGAATATCGAAGAACTTGGACAATGGTATTCGGAAGGCTCGTCATCATTGTCTCCTCTTGGTATGAAGATTAAATTGTCAAAATCCGGGGATGCATCTATAGTTTCCACTGAAAAACATGAATTGATTGATGATTCTAAAGAAGGTAAATATAAATTTGAAGAAACTATGCGGACAGAATCACCAATTGGAATGAAAATCAAGTTGTCAAAGAGCGGTGATGCGTCTATAGTGCAACAAGATACAAAAGAGATACAAATAAAGCACAAAGATAAGCTGGATATAGTTCAGGAAAGTCCAAAGAGAACAGAATCTCCAATCGGAATGAAGATTAAGCTTTTTAAAACTGGAGACGTCTCGATAATACAATCCGAAAGGCAAGATTTTTCGGAGGAATATAAAGATAATCTACAACTGAAACCAAAGGAGAAGCTCGAATCATGTTATGATTCTCCTAAAAGAACTGACTCTCCTATAGGAATGAAAATCAAGTTGTCTAAAAGTGGGGATGCCTTAATTGTTTCTCCTGACTTGCCAGAAGAAAGTAAAGATGTCAGCAAAATGAAAGATAAATTAGAGTCATCTCCAGAAATTCCAAAGAGAACCGAATCCCCGATTGGAATGAAAATTAAGCTAGCAAAAACGAAGGGTGGCGGAGCTTCTATAATATCAGTAGAAAATAATGAAGAGGCAAAAGACATTCCAGATATTCCTAAACGAACGGAATCACCATTTGGAATGAAGATTAAATTGTCTAAAACAGGTGACGCATCGATCGTTCATTCAGAAGTGTTAGACGAAATTAAAGATAAATTGGATACAGTTCAAGATACATTAAAATCATTGGACCCACCATATATTGAGAGCTCACAAGAAGAACAATCAGTAGAAACCATGCATGAAACTTTAAAAGTTGAATCTCCCCTTGGTATGAAGATCAAGCTTTCTAAGTTTGGTGATGCATCTATAGTTTCATTAGAAAAGCAAGAACAAGTGGAAGATAGTCCCAAGAGAACAGAATCACCTCTTGGTATGAAGATCAAATTATCTAAAACTGGTGACGCTTCGATCATACAAACTGATATATCTGAAGATGCGAATAAAACAATACGAACAACCGAGACAGAACATTCTAAAACTGACGCTTCTCTAGGTATGAAGATAAAGCTATTAAAAACTGGAGACGCCTCTATAGTGGATCCAGAGAAGAAAGATAAAGAACAGAGACGTCGAGACACTGAATCATCTCTAGAGATGAAGATTAAACTATCTAAAACGGGTCATCCAACAATTGTAGCTTGTGACACTCAAACGGAAATATACAAGTCCAAGGAAGCTATTGATCCTTCTCAAAATCTTGCTCAAAGATACAAAGAGGCTGGACAAGCCATATATAAAGAATCTGCTCTAAAGATTCTTAAAGCTGGACATTCGACCATTTTGCAAAGTAATCGTTCAGAACTGACCATCGAGCCGGTGCAAATACAGGGAAAGAAATTAGAGAATGTGATTGAAATGTCTCCGAAGCGCAAGGATATCACCATCGCACCGATCGAGTCGAAAAAATCTAAATTGGAAACTCAACTCACTCAAATTTTACCTGAGGTTACTATCCAGCCAGTGACGTCCAGAGAACAGAAGCAATTCCTGTTTGATCCTAAAAACAGTGCGATCAGTCTCCAACAGATGAATGTGATAAATCAAGAAATCAGTATTACTCAAGTGAGACCAGAAAAATCGTCCGATGTTTCTATGAACGAGAAACTGAAGGATATTCTATCAAAGAACGTATCTGGCTCCCCATTGAATTCTGACTGTGAAATTATAGAACACCGACCAGAATTGATAATAGTAAACGAGAACTCAAATTCTAGCCAGGATGTTGTAATAATAGAAGAAGTAACTCCGAATAGAATGCCAGAAGTTAAAGTGCCCAAGAAAAGAGGTAGACCCAGAAGGAATCCATTACCACAAGGAATTACTCATCCTCCGCCTCATATGTTAATACCTAGGGATCCTTTGTCTTTAGACGATACACAACAAATGCAACAACCACAAGTACCCCACTTTCAAGAATCTAGAGAGAATGAAAGACCTAAGAGAACCTGTAGAAGCCAGAAGAGTTATGCACCTCCTAGAAGAGGTAGAGGACGAGGTTTGTATCTTTTCATACTTTCTATGTGCAAGTATTAAATACTCTTTTATTCGACATTTCATATTATTATTTTTCTTTGTTTCTTTTTTTGTTTTTTTTTTGTTTTTGTTTTTGTTTTTATTTCATTAGGTAGAGGAAAACGAAAATTAGACACTGTGGATCCCCAGATTATGAAAAAGCCTAGGATAGAGCAAGATTTAAACGCGATAGAAGCTTCTACGACGGCTGTAATAACAATAGATGATTCTGGACTGCATCATGAATCCTTCGGAAAATCATCGGAGTTGTATAAAGCTCTTAAGCAACCAGCAATTGATTCCAAGATTGCTAATTCTTCGGGTAAAATTAACAAGAAGATTATGGGATAAAAGAATACCGGAGTAAAGACTGTAAATGTAGTTAATAACACAATTCCAGGTCCCACGAGTATGCATTCTGAAACGAACAAAACATCGGAAATGCGGCTGCCTAAACCAATATCAAATGACGTCACAATTAAGGATAAAAGATTGGTCGAAATAGTTCCTGAAAGAGTGCAAAAGACTGCAACGAAAGCGGATTCCGATAACAAATTTGATAAACCAATGGATAATACAAAATTGGAGAAAGATATGTTAATACCACCTGGGCATCCGAATTGGTTAACCCCAGTATCGAAACGAACAGAAAATACTACAAAACATGAGAATATGTCTACAGTGCAAGTGATAGATGAGGAAACAAGAATGAGTGCAGAATCAGGTTCTAGATCTCAGACTCCAGCTAGAAATATTTCTGCACCTGGTATGTTTCTTGCATTTTTTACAAATTATACTTCTTACTAATTTTATAAATAGCAATATTGATTATGTTATATTTATTTATTTTACATTTAGATTAATCATTATAAACTTGTAATATAGATGAATAATAGTAATGACATTATTTTATTTTATTTATATTTACTAATGTTAATTATAATTAATATTCTATGTAAGATATACTTTTTATTATATTTTCAAAATAAATTGCTAAAGTAAAAAATATATTGGCTGTTAGTCGTAAGGAACATATATGGTCCTTGGTCATATGACTGAACTAAATTAAAAGATAAATGCATTGGTAGATCTCCAAGCAAGGTATCTATAAATAGATCTTTTTCTTGTGTCTTAACATCTCTTAAGTACATAAATGTGAAATAGATCTATTTAAACTCAACACAAAATATACTGTTATTTCAAAATAGAATTTCCAAACCATGATGATTAGAATTTTATCTATCATTTAATTTATCAATTTTTTGAAATATTTTTATCTTAAAAGATCTAATTAAATAATATATTAATATTCAAAGTTAATCTTAACTGTGGATTATTATAATATATTAATATTCAAAGTTAATCTTAACTGTGAATGATTATAATATATTAATATTCAAAGTTAATCTTAACTGTGAATTGGTTCTATTTGTAAACATAACAAATAATAATAATAATAATTACAGCTTCTGAAACTATAATAAATGAGGAGTCTCAAGGAAGTGTACTTAGTACTGCCACTACAGAGTCAGAAAAAGTAAAGGTCAAAAATAGAAGAATGGAAATTAATTTTGATCCGGACGAAGGACCATTTACAGTTGATAAAATTGCTGAATATGAATGGCCACTTGACCGTAAAGGTGAAACTTTTATGATACAAGAACAAATATCTCAATATCTTGGTGTAAAATCTTTCAAAAGAAAATATCCAGATCTGAAGAGAAGAGTTGTTGATATGGAAGAAAGAAATTATTTGAGAGAAAATGGTTTGGTTAGCGAGGCAATGTGTGATATGGGTAAGTCAATCATTATAAATAATTATATTTGTTTACTAATGTACTTATTTTTTAATATTAACATAGGTTTAACTGCTATATGCAGCTCAGAAGTATTAGATGTAATGTGTAGTGATTTCCCAGATCAGTATGAAGAATATCGCAAGCATATGCGCGAAAAGCAAGTGAAAGAACATTCCAAAAAACAAAAAGAATTAACAGCAGCTGCAAATGCAGAAAAAAATAGAATTGATCTAGCAGAAATGGCAGTTCAATCTGCATTGTCTTGGAATATGAGTTTAAATAAAGCTCGACGAGAAAATAGGAAGTGTAGTTTAGATTTACAAACTTTCACAATCCACGTGCCAAAGAAACAACAAGAAGTTGAATCCGAACGAAGAATTGGTCACTACCCTGTTGCTTTGATACCAGGACAATATACAGATTACTATCGAGAATACACACCAGCTGAGTTACGATATTATCCTTTAAATACTGTCCTCTATGGTCCTATGAGACCAAATGAACGTAAATTTGATAGTCAATCAGAAGGATCTCAAAGTGATAGCGACAGTGATTCATCTTCAGATGATTCAAGGTTTGTACTATCATTGTAAATTACTAACATGTTAATATTTTGTGTGCGTGTGTGTGAAAGAACAGTTGGTTTTTTTTATGTAGTTCATCTTCTAGCGAGGGTACGCAGGATACCGAAGGCTCTCAATCCACGATGGACGACGTAGATATGGAAATAGCAAATCGAAAAGATGAAATAAAGTTGAAATGCAAGATGTGTTTGAAGACCTTAAATAAACATAGTAAAAATGAAGTATTGATTCAGTGTGGTACATGTAATGGGCATGGTAATATCATTTATATCATTTTTCATTTATATATTCTTTATTACTTTATTGTATAAATTACAATATTTGTATTATAGTTCATCCATCGTGTATAGATTTAACATTAGATATGGTTCCTCATATTCAATCGTATGCATGGCAATGCACAGATTGTAAAACTTGTGCTCAATGTCATGATCCTGCAGACGAAGATAAAATGCTATTTTGTGATATGTGCGATAGAGGGTATGTTTTCTTTCTTTATTAAAAATATTAATGAACAGTTGTATGATATTTAATATTACTCAGGTATCATATTTACTGTGTTGGTCTTCGACGAGTACCCCAAGGAAGGTGGCATTGTCAGGAATGTGCCGTTTGTGTAAATTGTGGCTCAAGAGAACCTGGTGGTGTAAATTCTGATAGAAATAGTGTTGCTCAGTGGCAACATGAATACAAGAAAGGTGACAAGAATATTCGTGTTTATGTTTCAACGCTATGCGTCCCATGCTCAAAGTAAGTAATACTACTTTTTTTGTCTTCATCTTGTGGTGTAATGTACGAGTGAAAAATACACATACTAAATGCTAGTCTTCAAATTTTCACGGGGCTTCGTTACTGCTTCACAATCTCCTTAATTCACACAAAACTCCTTTATTATAGAGATTTTTAAACTAATATTTCGCGTTCAATGTTATGATATCCAAATCCTTGAATTCCAAAAGTTGATCATACAATTAACTTGTTTAATTAATAATATTCATAAAAGTTAATAACATACATTCATTTATGCTTAATTTATTAATGCATGATTATGATAATGAAAAATCGTTCAAGGTTCAAATTTTTATTAATTGTACTAAATTCGGGCATTATAACAAACCCTTATCCAAGTTCACTAACCCCTTGATCTTTATGCAATAACAAGGCTATGGCGAAAGGGTCGCTATTGCCCGCACTGCAGTCGCTGTCATACTGCTCCAAGACTCGACCTGGAAGCGAATCTAGTGCATTGCAGCGCATGTGACAAATATCTGCACTTAGGTATTGACACAAATTCCATATAATTCCACTATATATTTTTCATTGCATGTTGCGTTTGCATGCTTCATCAAATGTTATTATCTTTAAAAGTAATTTGAATATTTAAATTATGTACGGGAAATTTCAGGTATAATAAAACATATATCAATATTTATTTATAGCATGTAAAGATTATTATCATTAGTATTATTCATATTTTCTTATAGGTTGCGTGGAGACCAAGGGAATGCCATTAGACAGGAAAAATTATCTATGTGACTTTTGTGCACCAAATCGTCAGCAAATGGTAAAATCATTAATATCGAGAACATTGAAAACATAAACGAAAACAAAATTTATATTTGAGCTCGAAAAGTGTATAAAATATAAAACTTACTTATTTAGAAAATTTGATAAAATAGAAATTTTTTATTTATATGGACAATGAATATATTCTGAAGACAACTTAAACAATTGATTTATTATAAAATGTTTCGTAAGAATTTTATGAGTGAAATGATTGTACATAATTGTATGATTATGATGGATTTGAAAAATTAACGTTTTGTTACAAAGTAGTGATTATAATTAGCTATATATGAAACTAAAAATATAAAAAAATTTGCCTTTAAGTGTTAATATTCAGTGAAAATGCTTGACGATTCTGATTTTCTTTATTATTTTTATCCTTTTATTTTTAAATATGTTCTTTATTAAGATATTACTGCAAAGTTAAATGAGAGCAATTTCTTCTTATATATTATATATAAATTGTATTTACAATTTATATTCTTTTTATTACTTATAAATAAAAATTACGTATAGTAATAAGAAAGAATTTTACGGAAAAAGACTGCTTTATAGAATTATATAAATTTTATAATGATTTTTAACATTTTTTAAATGTACATAAGGTGCTGCTTTTTTTAAATATTTACATCTGTTATATATATAAATGAAAGTTTAATATAACTTTTATAATTAATTTTGATTTATAAAAAAGCTTAACAGTCTCATAATTTATTAATTCTACATCTAAAAAAAATACTGACAATTAATAGGTATATATTTAAGGGGAGTATGATGAAATATAAAACAAAATAGCAATTTCTTAAAAATATATATCACTTTCTTTATTTTTCTTTGCAATATAATCCTCGGAATAGTATTTTGTTGCGAGAGTTGTATGCCTTGCAAATATCTTTTTACATATTTATAGTAACGCAGTATCCACGTTGTGAACAGTATGTTTCAGTGTGCACGTATACACACGTAATTGATAACCAATTGTCATTTTCGAAACTAATTACATTTTATAATACATTGCAAAAGTGTTTTAGATTATTTAATAATATGTACAAGAAAATAAGGTTGCAATATTAAAATCGATTAAACAATGTCCAAATTGTAAAATATAAACTTTGGTATATCGTTGCATGAATATTATACTGTCAAAAATATTCTAATATATGTATAGCATTATCATTTTTGTACAAGACGTATTTCTAAAGCTTAGATCAATTATGCAGAAACTACCGAGGATTTAAACAATATCTTTTTACGAAATAGACTTTTTTTTATATCGTTTTGCAAAACTACATGCCTGCCATTAAAATACAAAGTTTAAATGATAGCGGAACAACATCGGCAGCATTTCAAAAGTGAAAGAAATCATTGAAAAGTGCGTGTTTTGAATTTCCACATATCATCCCATTTTGTTTTTTCTTCTTTGTAACTAAGAGATTATAAAGGTCATAAACTAGATTTTTCTTCCACATTTGATAGTTTCCCCTAGTATGTCTGATACTTCTTTTTCAGTTTACTTTGAGCGCTACTATGAAAATGACTGTGCACGCTTTCAAATTCTTCCATAATCACACACTTAACACTCCGCACGTATCGTGAAATTGTGAAAAATAGAAAATAACTTGAGCAAAAACGAGGCATAGCATACAGCACACGTTATAAGATGGCATAACGTGTTTTGCATTACGTAGAACACTTATACTAACGAGACAAAATGATTTAAAATCACTAACGTCTCGTTGACTAGCCGAATATAAATACACTATTGACAGATGTCAAGTAAATTCTGAGCAAACCCAACAAGCAATCAGTAGAAAAGGTGAAAAATAACGTTTACATTCGAGCATCGATACTGCTAAGTAATTATCTTTTAGAATATAAAGTTTTACAACCGTGGTTGAGTTTCCACATAGCCGTTAATCATTTCCATATTCGTACTAAAATTGATTTGTTCTTGATTCATATTCATTGACTGAAATAATTTAAACGGCAAATAAAATCTTTGTAATCCTTTTACGAGACAATGTTTTGTAAATAATTGACAACGTAAAAAGCATTGTTAGGCTTTACTCATGTCTAATTCCACATATAGACAAAAAGGTACTGAAATTATGTAAGTGCGTTGCCGGTATAATAGTAGTAACTAAATTTCGTGTAGAAAATTTAGAAAGAATGTCCTGAATAAAATTCGGTCCTGGCGAACTGCCGACTTTGTAGAAGATGCGTAGATTGCAAGACGGATTTACAGTTTGGGATCCTTTTGTAAGCTTACATAATACGTATTCGAATGCTTCTGTTAATTCGTCTATAGTTAACTCTGTAGAAAATAAATTCGTTTCCGTGGCTAAATTACCAGTTGAATTGGACGAACCTAATTAAGATAAAATAATTTTTATTTGTTTATGAAAAGGTGAAAAAAAATATTTAAACAAAAATATGTACCAGCAGACATATAACATACAATCGCTGAAACGGTATTTTCGTAATTCCATCTACGTCTTATTGCCACTTTGAAATTACCTACGCATTTACCAGTCTCTTCATCTGTAATAAAATGATTTTTTAAAAAGTGGCTTATTAAAAATTAATTCTTTTTATACTTACATTCAAACCTATTATTATCTCTATGAGCCCAAACGCACCATTCAACTTGAGCACCACGTGGAAGATTTGGTACAACGATGTAATCCACAATAGCATTATTTGTTCGTTTCTCCCATTCCTTTCGTGCGTCTGGTATATAACTAGAATGAGTCAAAAAACAAATACCTTGCACAATATCCCTGAGTTGCGTATTCGAATCCATAGCTTTGACAATACGATCTATATGCCTCAACGTTAAACGACATTGTCTTTTAATATTTAAGTCCAGAATAGTCATACTACCAGGCACCAGTGGTATTTGTCCAGCAACTGAGATAATGTCACCTACCTATCAAATGAACAGTTAAAATTTATTCAAATTATTGTGAAAAATGATATAATTTTTTTTTTTGGTTTATACGTATATTGATCAAAATAGATTTAAAATTGTCGCTTAAGCATTTCTTTATATTACTTATAAAATGTTCAATTTCTTATTTTCATTCTAGAAAATTTTATTTTGTTTACCTCACTGTTGTGTTTCTTTTGTAAACCAGATGTGTGTACGTGCGCGTATAAAAATGCGCACATACACACATTTTGGCTACATATACACACAAAAGACACGCACGCAAATTGGTTTGTAACGGTAGTATAACACTCACACGAACGGCTTGAGAATAAGGACCAATGTTTGCAGGTGCCCAGTGACTTATGCTCTGAACATGCATTGTATGTCGTTTGTGAATTTTCTTATCACCACAGTCTTGAGTTTCTTTATAGGCTATAGCATCAAGTACAACATGTATATTTAACGGACATTCCACGCATACGCGGACTGGTGGATTTGTCTTGCTCAAACATGAGATATAAACCTCGTTTATAGATATGTAATTTGACATATCTTTTATATATAACGTTACGGCAACGATGTCCGATATTTGAAGACTTTCCTTTTTGACTAGACCTAGACAGTCGATACGCGTGTTTTATCAATCTACATCAAATCCAATACGATATTATACGAAAAAAAAAAGAAAAATTAACTAAATGATGATTTAAAAAACTCAAAGTTTACCTACTGCTTAATTTCTCCAATGCCTCTCGCATCGCAGATTTAGCATCCGGATGTTTACCAGCGATACCACCAAACCAGAACCAGCCAGTTTGATTTCTATTCACTACTGGCACATCGGGATAATCCTCTTCCTCGTATAAAATTTCCATAGGACTCGGAGGATTAAATTGACCTGAATTATTATATGTTACATTGAAATAATTTATTATATACGAAATAATTTAATCGATTGAAAATTACCAGAATTTGAAGTCCTTAAATTACTGCCTGTATGTTCATCACGTTCATCATTTTCATCTTCCGATAAATTACATCCGTCGTGTAATTCTGGTCCAACTATTTCTGCGATATAATCAGATGGGGTTTTAATAGGAACATTTTTTAATCTTTCTTGTAACGTTAATCCTTCTATACCATTCTGAAAAAAATTTTTTTTTATTTAAATTTACTTAAAAATCATAAAAATATAAAATATTTCAACTTACATTTTTTTCTTGTACATGAATTTTTTTAAAGTTTATATATCCGACGGGTGCTATGTTATCATTTGAATGAACTACACTTTCATATTCATCTCTAGAATTAAAAAAGTAGTATTTTTTTGGGTACTTGCTTCATATTAAAATTTTAAAATATTAAAATAATATTGAAGATAGATTTGATAACTTACATTACAATACTTTTACCAAATAATGGACAATCTAATATGAAGGTTTCATATTCTCCTCCTTCTCCACATATGTTAACACCATATTTTTCTTTCTATAAATAAACATATAACTATTAATATAATATATGTATCTGCTTGTTTACTATTTAAATTTTCTTTGCATATATTTTTTATACGAGTTATTTACATTTGGAATATTTCCAAGATACAATCAAATATTTGGTATTAAATTAATCATTAAGACATTTTACTTACTATTTTGGCAAGATGAGATTGCATTTCAGAAAGTGATTTACCCAAATGCCTTGGTTCAAGGCCTAAAGCTGCCACTTTAATTATAACTGCATTTACAGAACTTTCTATCATTTCTTTCAGTAATTCATCTTGCTCTCTTCTCCATAGATATGACAAAGAAACAAGTCCTAAACGACTACATCTGAAAATAAACTTTCATTATTAGATATTTTTGTCATTACAAAAATAAAAATAAAAATTTATATTTTCTATTTGATAAGCTTTTTCATAAAAATTAAATATTTAACGAATTTGCATCAAATATTTGTAATTACACATTTTCCACGCGAATTCGTTGATAATCACTCAGAATAGCTCCTGATGAAACAGCTTCTATATTCTCTTTTTCCTAGGAAGTTAATGAAGTTAAAATAATTAAACTAATAAAATTATTCTATGATGTGTTTTTTACACCTTACCTTCACTTTACTTAACAACCTAAAGAGATCTTCGACTTCATCATTTTCTGTTGGATAATAATATTTTTCTTGCATTTTTGATCTGCCAAAGGTTGGTTCACGATACATTGGTAAACCCATAGCTTCTGCAATATATTCAACACCTTGATATCCAACAGTTTGAAACATAAATGAATCTAGTTCATCTATAAATAAGTTGTTTCATTAGTTATCTGATATTTGAATAAATTAAAAGATTTTATTACCTATTATTTACCTTTTCCAACTGGATATAAATTAGCTAGAGCCACAATATCATGACCTGCAGCTATACATTGCATCATGTTAAAACATGAATCTTTACCTCCACTGACTAGTGCAACAACCCTCATTTTGTTTAATTTACACTCAGAATCTCTCAAAAAAATTTATCAAGAGCTTAAGAGTATAGTTAAATCTCAATATATTGTTTTAAACAAACATCTGTAATGAAACAGTTTAAAAAATTTAATGGTAATGATAATTTTATCATATTCATAAAAGCAAATTTTTTTTATGATAACAAATAAGATCACAAATATTTTTTAGATATACTATGTATATTTATATCCACGTATGAACGTACAAGCACATAGAAAAAATATCTCAATAACTCATTTATTAAAAATCATTCCTTTATTTATGGCAGTTATATTAAGACAAACTATATAAACACAGATTAACAAGTATTTATTATCAGGGATAAGGAAATATGTAAGCTATAAACAACATAAAGATAATAGCTTATTCAACATATTTAAGATATACATATGTGTATATATATTATTTGCAAATGTATATTAAGCTAAAATTAAATTTATAATGTATATACACACGTCTTTCTTGAATAGTCTAATGTATAAATAATACAATGTAAGCATTATTATTTCTCAATGAACAATTAAGAATATATTCAGAAAAATTCTTTTTTATCTTTTCTTAATTTTAACATATTTTCAAAAAAGAAAACGATTATTAAAATAACTAAATAAAATCTTGCAGAAAAAGAAAATGAAAAAGATATCGGATATTCAATTTAACTTATTAATGTGTGTAACAATTGGCTGGTGAACAAAAATTAATCACTGTACTATTCTAAACAGTAAACGTCACATAATCCGAAAAGAATCTCGATAGGACATAGATTCTTTTTAGAAGAATTATAGAACTTGATGATTTCAAATAAAAAATCTAACATTAATGAAATGTTAGAAAAAAAATCGGCTATTATTAAGGAAAAAAAGAATACCTACGGAGAGATTTTTTGGTTATTGCCGATCTCGGCTAAACGAGAAATATTACGGAATGACGCCCAGCAACGAATTGCACGGGGAACGCAAACGATAATTTCGAACTTATGTATGCTAAAATAAACTCTAAATTCTCAACAAATGTAATATTTACATTAAATTGGTGACGAAAGTTCCTTACACGGCAAAGTCTATCAGAGACTGCGATTGCTTGATAGTGGCGCCTCTCCGTGATAAAACTTTCAACATAAACTGTAGAATTGAGGTTATGATTTGTTTTAATTGTACGATTGTTTGTAATAGTTATTCAACAAGTTGGTTTTTGATTTTGTCTTTAATATACACTGTATTTACCGTTATCGTAAAGTAATATATGAAATTTGGCAAATCTGTTACAAAAATTGATCTTGCTTTTGAGAAATTCTCAGATGTACTTCGTGTCACTGTACCTCGTGACATCATCAGTGTATAAAATATATCGATGTTTCGTTATTTCAATCTGCTCCTATGCTATAATTTACTGATTGTGATATAACTTAAATCAAATAGTAATTTAATCATAATTTCTTTTTTCTTGCATGTATTATTTGTTATTTTTTTATAGTCCATTTACATCATAAAACAAGGATATGATCTACTGCAAAAATGAAGTATGTAGTATCAAATACGTACTAGGATAGAACTGGGTTGTAAGAATTTTCAAATTCATACTTTTTCGAATTACATAACTTCGAGTGATTTGTTTATTAACATCAGCGTCACTTGTTTAAGAATTTATTTGACATATTCCAATTATGATTATAGAAATAGATTATTGAAACTGATACATATGTTTTCATTTACAATATGAGATAAAATCAAATTTCCATAATATTTTGTACAATATAACAATATTTTAGAATTATTATTATTTAGTTTATAAAAATAAACGGATTTCTAAATGGATTCAAAACGTCATGTATTTTTACACTTAATGTTAACGTAATTTCACAGAAAATTGAAAGTTTTATTATTTTTATATATGAAATTTCTTTATTTAAGTTTTATATAAATTTAATCAAAAGTGCTTTTATAATAATTATGAAAGAGTTATTGCAAATATCTGATTTTTGAAAATACAATTAATTTCGAAATATATTGAAAATATACGTTGCCATCTTTACTTAGTAAATCGTTAACCAATCAGATCACTTTCAATAAGCAGCCATTTTACTTTCGCTACGGTCACACGAAGCGTAAGCCAGATTCTACGGAGCACGGTGTAGTTGCAAGCTATCGCTTGCATTGCAAGTTTTGTTGGTTTTCGGTACGAAAAGTCTTTGGTAGTGTAATAATCCGGTACAAAATAAATCAAAGAAAGGCTGAAGAATGGTTTTGGCGGAGAGAAACTCGGAAAATGTTAGAAATGGACGCAGATCGCGGGGCCCCAGCCCTAATGGACAGACGGAATCTTCGAGCGAAGAAGACGGAGGTACCAATTTCATATTGCACTTAAATTATTGTTTAATCATTGCGATCTTTTAAAGTCTTATTTTAATCAGTATATCATAAATATGTTGCAACTCTAAGAATATATTCTTTTTAGGAAGTTTATATATTTTTATATTGATCGAACACGAAAATCCGTAAGGATCTTCAAACAGCGCGCCCCACTTTTCCTCTTTTTAAGCTTCTCACATTTTCAGCCAATTCCTATGAATATTTCTATGAGGCAATTTTAAAAAACTTTTTTAATTGTCGAACTGTTTTATTTGCGTATATCATTAAAATAATATATTACTTTTTTTTTGATCGAATGAAATAAAGTACTGTTGACTATATTAAAGTAATTTGTAGCAAGTAGTGTATTAAAAAATGTATTTAAAATCATGTAAATGAGAAAAACATATTTCAGTTTAATATTCTGTAGTGCAACTATGCAATAAGTTCACTCACATTTTTTTATTGGTTTGAAATTTTTGCATTTATTAAACATTATAATTTTCCTAAAGTTCCAGCAGAAAAAATCCGTGTTGGAAGAGATTATCAAGTTATTGTTCCAGAATTTGTTCCAGTTAGTGGTATGTTATTTAAACAGAATTATTCCTAAAAGATTTTTCCATTATTTCTCAATTAAAATGATTCTTTTTATATTTCTACCTTAATAATTATAGATTTTAAATTTTAGAACGACGATTAGATCAATGTCCTGACAGGGCACTATTAGTATGGTCTCCCACTACTGATATACCTGATCAAAAATGTAAATATAAATTGTTTTATTTATTTAACTTTTTATAATGTACTGATCATACAAATTTATTTTTTTTATAGTGGATGAATATATCATATTAGCAAAGGAAAAGTATGGCTATAATGGAGAACAAGCATTAGGAATGTTATTTTGGCACAAACATAATTTAGAACGTGCTGTATTAGATTTAGCTAATTTTACACCATTTCCTGATGAATGGACAGTTGAGGATAAAGTTCTTTTTGAACAAGCATTTCAATTCCATGGGAAAAGTTTCCATCGAATTCGTCAAATGGTAGAATCTTTTCTGAATTAAAAATTAAAAAATACAAAAATTATATTGTAAAAAATATTATTAAAAAATTGTTTATATTTACAGTTACCAGATAAATCTATTGCTAGCCTTGTTAAATATTACTATAGCTGGAAAAAAACAAGAACTAGAACATCACTGATGGATAGACAAGCAAGAAAATTAACAAGTGGTGGAAAAGAAGGAGAAAATGGTAGTGAAAATGGAAGTGAATTAGGTTCCAATACAGACAGTGAATCAGAAGAAAAAGTAAGACATTTTTTAAATATCTAACAAATGCATGCACTTGAAGGATAAATTCTCTCTTTCTCTTTCTCTTTCTCTCTCTATTTAGAATAATACTTCAAATCATAAACTATCATAAAATATCAGTTTCAAATGTTCTAATAATTAGAAGTATAAAAATTGTATTATATTAATTAGAATAACAAATTTGTTTTTGTTGCTTGTTACTTTTTTTATAAACTAAATTAAGCTTTTTGTTTCCATCTTAATTTTGCTACATTTTCATCAAATTATTTTAAGTAAATTAACATTTGTGCTATTGCGTGTGATAGTGTTCTCCTCTTGCTGCATTTTAATGCCATGGCACTGGCTCGAAATCATATATATATATATACATATATACATATATAATGTGCAGTAATACACATCTAAAAAATGTATCCACACGGTAACGTATTCCATGCGGTGAATGAAACAAAAATAAGAACACTGATCTACAATTGGTGAAAATTATCAGAACTACGAATTAAGAGATGAATATAAAATGAACATGCTTTATGTATTTCCTTTATATATTTATATAAAAGGAAAAAATTCCAATTTAAATATATAATACTTCTGGTATCTCAATAATTTTCTAAACTATTAAAAAAAGCTACGTAACATCAATACAAGATTAAAGTTAGTTAAATTATCGTTGTATCGTGTGTGAACGTAAATGTGGAACGTTCTAGAAATGGACGATCCACCGCGGAATACGTCGTGGAAAGAACCAAGCTGTGCCAGGAAGCCAAGGCACTGACGCCAAAGCCCCATCCGACTCGGAAAACGCCCCTCAGGTTCAGGTACTCAGCCTAAACCTTACCCTGTTGCATAGCATAGTATGCTTATTATATTTTGCTACTTTTTTTTGTCGTCCCGTATTTATTGTTTTCTTGTCGTATGTTTTTCTTTCTTTATCAAACAAAACAAAATTTTGCGAAAATAATTTACATAGTAGAACTGATAGGCTGAAACCTTACTGAGGAAAAAATGTTGAAGCCCAAAAATTATCCGATATGATGGAGATTTACATATCTCATGAATTTGTTAAATTCGAAAAAAAATTGGATTTTTATTACTTTAAAAGTTTACTAAAATCATAGAATTATAAGAAGTTCGGAGCTTCTGATTTTTTATGGCGGGCCGAATTAATATTTCCGGATAGAGTTAAATAGAGTTAAATATGCCCATGTATATATTTCATTCTTTTTGTAATAAAAAAAATTCCTAGAGATTAGTTTAGATACATGTTAAAAAATGTTAACTGATGGAGAGGGTGGGGGGATAGTTAGAATATATTTAAAAAGGGTATTATGTGTTGTAGGGCTCGTGTAGCAACTGTGGCGTTGCTTGTCATAGTGTTCGTGCGACGCCGAAAGGACACGCGTGTCACAGCTGCTATCTGCACTGGAGGTCAGTGAGTGCAAGTTAAATAAAATTTCAATAATTGAAAAATCATCATAGCTTTCTTTGAAATTAGAATGTTCATGCACGTGTCTCATTATGAATTAAAGAATTACAAATGATTAATTTTAAATGTTACTAAGATAATAATACTTATAAATAAAGAAACTGTTTAACATATACTTTTATAAGAATGCATGAGTATTCTTATTTATGTGTTATTTAACATCTTTAAAGGGAGTTAAAAAATCAGAATAATTGTAGATCAGATATATTCATTGATTTAAAGAAAGCAGAAGTTTACAAATTTATTTAAATGATTTAGGCGAACTGGTGTAGCAAGACCATTAAGTTCCATGCCAGGTCGAACAAATAAAAGAAAACCACCTCGCGGTCTTGTTGTTAATCATGATGATTTAGCAGCATTGGCTGGCCAACCTACTCAAGCAAACAACAGTTTACAAGCGATAGACACCGAAATTGTTAGCCTAAAACGCCAAGTACGTTTTACAATAAAATAAAAATTTACAATAAAATGAAACGTGTGGATACATTTTTATATGAAACATCGATATCATTTATTGCTCGGTTAACAAAACCTAAAATACCTACTTTTTTATTTTAAAATACAGATTCAATCAAACAAACAACAAGTAAGCGCATTAAAGCGTAAAACAACTGACGGTATTGATGATCTACGACCACCAGAAGTGTCCAGTCGTATAAATGCTCGTTGGACAAATGATGAATTACTTTTGGCCGTTCAGGGTGTTCGAAAATATGGGAAAGATTTTTCTGCGATTGCTGATGTAATTGGAACTAAAACAGAAGCCCATTTGCGATCGTTTTTTGTAAATTATCGACGGAGGTATAATTTAGATGCAGTCTTAAAAGAATATGAAGCTGAAAATGGCCCGATATTAATTGATGATGAAAAGGAAGAAAAGGTAAAGTAATTTTAATTTACTTTGATTAGAATATTACTTAGGATATCGCTTAAATATTAGATAAACATTGTTGGATATGAATGTTTCAGATGGATATTGATCAGCCAAATGAAACAGCAGAATCATCTCAAAAAACGAAATCATCCGTAGGACTTGGACAAACGGCTAAATAACAAATGACTATACTTTTGAATACCAGCAAACGTGAAAAAAATAATCACAGACACTTTGATAATCGATAATATCATGTAAAAGGTATTTGTTTATAATTTACGATTTTTACTTCTAATTTCACTTTTTGTTGCGCATTACTGATGCGATACTGCAGGAATCAAGTATGAGCAACAATTTCCGTTAAACTTGTGCATAAATTAATAATCCACAAAATACATATATGGATATTTATTAATACGAACGAAAATGTGTGAATTTATTTAGGTAGATTTATTTTTAATATAGTATATTTGTATATGTCTAAAATGGAATTTTTATTAAGCAATATAAAGGAACTGTAATTCCATTAAAGATATTTAGCATATAATTATAAGAAAAATAGATTAAAAATTAAATTAATGCATCCAAATGCAAATATAAGATGTTTTTGTAACATCCATTGTATGCAATTATGGATGCAACAATTTTTTTTTTCTTTTTTTTTTTCGAATAATTGTATTCTGTAGCATGTAATATTTCTAGGTATACATAAGAGTATACAGAGTCAGAGTCCCATTTTAATGAAAGTAATTTAAATACAAAATTATTCATTTTTATTGGAGAGAAAGATTCAAATAAATGATTGAAAAATTGATAAAATTGTAAAAATATTGAACAAATTGTATAGTTTAGAACATTTAAGAAAATCAAGTATCATTTAGTAAATTCAATTTATATATGGTAGAATTAATAATAATTTCATATGCGAATAATTAATAAAATTTAACGATTTTTTATCTATGCTCAAATATCAATTATATATTCTGAAATTTTATTATTATAGTAACATTATGTTTGTATTAATTTCAAATTTTGCATGTATTTTGTGTGTTGTATATTTAATTTTTGTAAAATGTTTACGAGAAATTTACATAATTCATATTACAAAACTTAGAGTAAAAAAAATATATGCAGATGGAAGAAGAAGATAAAAAGAGCAATCAATTTATATATTTCATTAATTTATTTATATATTTCAGCAATTTATTTATATATTTCATTTATTTAAAATTTTTAGACAGTTATTTTGTTTTTTAGATGTGATGATTTCGTAATTATATAAATCGGAAGAAAATTCTTGTCTTGTGCCTATGCATTTTTGGGCGTATGAAAAAAAAAGAAACAATAGCAAAATTTGAAGAAATTTTTCCCCTTTGCTTCCTGTTTGCATATTATCTATTTAAAGTATAATATTTAAATTTGCCGAGAATTAGACAATCTTCCATTCTGTATTGAAGTGAATAATAAAGATCTGGATAAAAAGAAAAATTTCTTCCAACTTTTAAATTTTTTGTAGTGAATTATAGTTACTCAAAACTCTAGCAATTTCAGCTATAGTGCAGTTTACATTATTAGTGAAAAAATTAGAATAAGTTTAACGCAATCATTGTTAAATTATTTTACTTAAAATATGAAATCAATGATTGCGTTGAATGATGTATCATTAAAAGAAGAATGCTCAAGAAAAGAATACACTTTTATTCAAATTTTAACTGAAAGAATTTAATATTTTATTAAAATACATCACAATAGAAATTTCTTTTATTAGTTTTATAGAAAAATAAATTTGAGGAGTTGAAAATTGTGCTATTAAAAATATCAAATGAAGGAGAATATATTTTTATGGCTTGCTGCTGCATACTCAATCCAAATATATATAAAAAAAAAAAGAAAAAAGTAATGGTTCCTGATATTTCTATTACATTATACAAAATTATATGTATACTAAAATTGTCCGTATTTCAAAATAATGGTGCTTCTATATTTAAAAGCACAAAATTTTGTATTCCTATAAATAGGGAATAAAAAATTTTATTGAGTAATTTTAATTGGACAAAATCTTCATACAGAAAGAAAAGCATACTGAAGTATGTAGTTGTTTGTGTAACAGTAAATATTTGAACAAATATAAAGTACATTAGTCCGCTTACACAAATCTATTTTAAAAGAAATTATTTAATGCGGTCAATTGTCTAGAACTTAATAATAATTATATAGTAGTTATAGAATTTAATTTGAAAAAAATAAATGCTGTTAAACAATATTTTCAAGATAAATTAACTTCCAATGATTTTTCATTATTTTGCGATAGAACGTTTAAAATCATATAGGTGTAATTTTACTTATAGTTTCATATGTACATCCACATTTACTATTAGTAGTAGTAGTTATAAGATCGTTAGTTTAATATTTGTCTAAATAGAATTTACTACTTAATGTTAATAAAAGAAAACACTTGCAAGTGTGTGTGTGTGCACGATTTCTTTTACAAAAGATGGTATTCTTGAAAATGATTGTGAGATTAGATAAACTTTAGAAATTATTATATAACATCGATGTAAATATGAATGATCACCAAAGAAATTTACTGTAATCGTTAGTAACATATCACGGAGATGGATGAAATATTTGGCAAGAATTATTTTGCTGAATAAGTAATTCGCCAATTTAAATGAAAAAAAATATATAATACGATTGAAACAGACTAGCCAATTATTTGAAATTTTTATTCTTTCTTTTTCTAATATATTTCATTCAAGTATGATGCAATGATATTAAAATTTTTAATGAATAGTTTTAATAAACAGAAAAACATTTGATTTTACTTGCATAGTAATGCAAGAAAAACTTCTAAAAATATTTAATGAGAAATAATCTATTATATTCTGATCGTTCTTTTTATCATATTCTTCTTTAAATTGTACTCTAGTATGTGCAATTTTTTTCACACACGAAAGCATGGCGCAGTGTTCAAATACATAATTAAATATAAGCTTTCATAGTTTAAGATTGAAGAAGGAAGTCACTTTAAAATATTTTGCTATGTGGATATTCTCGTTTTCCGCTAGAAGCAACTTCTTTCTTCAATACTTATTGAATTACGAATGCATTTAAACGAGAGATGATACGCGATCAGCGAATAAAAAAGATTTTTTAATCAAACGAACTTGCTTAATTTCCAGATATACTTTTGAAATTGAATTTTTGTAATTTAATATATATTTATATACATATATTGCCGATTAGTAGATTATTTACGTAAGATTCGGATACTTCATGAAGCACATCATTATATGATACTTTTAACTTATGGACAAGATTTTTAATTTAAAACATTTTAAAAATTACATGTTTTGATCTATATTATATTTGATAACATTATATAAGGATGTTAATTGTAGATACGACAAAGTACGAAGAACGGAACATATGAAATGAAAATGACATAGTATGTGATATATATATATATATATATA